TATATGTTAGAAGATTGAATATTTACATTGCTATTCAGTTAATGTATGTATAAGAAAATAATATTTTAACATTAAGAAAGCAAAGAGAAAAAATGGGAACAGGAAAATCTTTCATGGAGGTAAAAAAGTGACACTGTTTGTATTTAAAGTTACATATATATTCTAAAACTTGAAACGAAAAAAAGGAAAAAAGATAAAACAAAAGAACAGAGAAAGCGCAACTATATAGAACACACATGAGAACAAGCATTTACGTAATTATCATTCATATTATAATTACGTACGCTATCTAGAAGAAAAGTGGGTTAAAACTTTTAATACACAACAATCTTATTCGTATTATGCTTAGCTTTCTTTGGCAAAAGTAACACTGATTTCTATACAATTGTTTAACAGATGACGGGCAGAAGAAACTGAATGCATTCTTATCGAAGAATTTTAAAATTATAAAAGAGTTAATAAAAACATGTACAGCGATCTTTACAAGTCATTATCAAAAGAACACAAACAGATTGCTAACAGTATATCAGATTCTGTATAAGAGGTAAATTAGGACGTATTTGAATGCATTAATTTGATTCTAAAATATCGAAAGAAATCTAACGTACCCGAAAAAAATCCTTACGTTTTCGGATTGCCTGGATATAACAAACAAAGGTACAAATATCTCAGAGCTTGCATTTTAATGCGTAAATTCTCAAGCGAATGTAATGCAATTCAGTCTAATACTTTACGTGGTACATTGTTGCCAAAGCATGTTGCAACATACTGTATACAATTAAATCTTAATAATATGGAAGTATCGGATCTTGCCACATTTATGGGGCATTCCGAAAAGATTCACAAGGATCATTATGTGTACAATATGTTGCAACATGCTAATAATCGAAGTAAAGGCTTCATTGGCTAACAGCCGTTAGCAACCAGAAATATATTGCAAATTTCCCAATACCTGGTAGCTGTTCAAGGAAATGACCAACATGCAAGTAGCGAATCTTCAACGGAAAGTAATATAGACGACGAATTATATGACGACCAAGCACAAAAAGATTGCTGACAAATATATTAGATTTTCGAATATAAAATAAACGGCGTAATTAAGAGCCAAGCGCGATAAATGCTTTGCAAATGTTAATTCTAACTTTTTACATATTTCCTACCTTAGTAAATTGCGCGCCGACTAAATTATTAGACTTGCAACACAGCTCCAGTTGGAGTAGTAAAATTTTTTTCCTCCTTACTACTCCAACCGGAGATGTTGTAAGTCTGACAATTTAGTCGGAGCGCAGTTTACTAAGGTTGAAAATGTGTAAAAATTTAAAAATAACATTTACCGCGCCTGACTCTTAATTAGTCTGTTTTTCTTATATTTGTCCATTTCCAATGAAGCCTTTACTTCGATTATTAGCATGTTGCAACATATTGTACACAACTACATTTTATCGAGGTGTCGGATCTTGACGTTTTGTCGCTTATGACGTTATAAACCAAAGATGTCCTGAAACATCAGAAGCCTTATAAGATTATTAGTCTTTGGTTAACATCGGGGATCCAATATCGAACACTCTCAACCTGCAAAAAGATTGTTCGTTAATTTTAGATTGTAACGTAGTAATATAATATAATTTTATACATATTAAAAATTGTAATATTAGGAGGAATAGTATTAATGTCGAAGATTTGAATATATAACATACAATATGCAAAACGCTCTTTATGTATGTATTATTATCTAGATTTTGATAATGTACATTAATTTGAATTGTGTTATTTTGTTTACTATACAAGCTGCGTTCCGATATTCACTACCAGTACTGAAAATCTATAGTATATGCCACGTACACTATAGATTTTCAGTACTGGCAGTGAATATTGGAACGCTGCCTGTATAGTAACCAAAATAATACAATTCAAATTAATGTACATTATCAAAATTTAGATAATACATGCATAAAGAGCGTTTTGCATATTGCATGTTATATATTCAAATCTTCGACATTAATACTATTCCTTCTAATATTACAATTTTTAATAGCCCCGTTATAATGTTAGAAAATTCAGTTTTTTTAGTGATCAGAATTTTTCGACAGCGGAAACACGATGCATCTCGTATCATATTTTCGAGGTTCAACTTAATTTGAGATGAAACGTTCGGTGTTACATTAATGTATAACTAGATGTGGATAACTGATATTTATTTAGGATGAGAAGATTGTTCGAATATCTTAGATAAGTTTTTAACGAAGAAGTGACAGTCTGCTGCGAGAACCGGGTAACCGACCTTGCGCATCAAGCAAGCCGTTTTGAATGCCCGCCATGGAAGGTACAGTCTTTACTTCGCCACGTGCTGTTAAGCAAGGTGGTGATTTTAATAAACGTTGCGCTACTCGGTTGATGTCATCTTTAGATATTCCATCTGCAAGCATCGAGTTTTTTTTATGAATATTACGTAAGAACCGGATTTTTGTGTTATTAAATTGCAAAGAGCTTTGCAGCTTACTAATAGCTTGCATGAAGTATTCAGGCCGTTTTCTGGTGCCAGTCGCCAGAACCTGTCTACAAATGTCTTCGAATACAACGGGTCGTTGTTCCAGATTCATAAGCAGCATCGACAGCAATTTCTTCTTTTCTCTCTATACGAAGAATAAGATTTTAAAGGATGTAATCATCGATTAAGACAATGATTTAGTAAAAATCAGATCTTAAAGTGTATATAATAATTGTATATATATATATATATATATATATAAACACGCTGTAATAACTGGTTCAGAAATGTAAAAATCATACCGCTAATTCGTTATCCGAAAATCCGCTCGTCATGGCGACCATCTCGTGCACAATTACTTCTACCATTTCCTTCACATGGGACGGTGTGTATGAGGCGTGAATACAAAATAAACCTCTACGTAAGCTATTTTCAGACGCGACTTTCAAGCCATTTGGTAAGACTGTGATCAGCGTCGTTTGATGCTCCTCTTTCGTAGTCGAATAAACAACTTTCGGCAAATTCGGAATAGGTTCTGACAGCGGTGGAAATAATGTAACGGTCTTCTTCTGATTCTCCTTTAAATTAGGGGGTATCCTCTGGGAGATTACACTTTTGCCAGGTATTGAAACATTGCAAGCGGGAACTGAAAGATAAAAAAAACAACGACGTGTAAAATGTATTGAATTCTTTTCTTTTCTTCTCTTTTAGAAGAAATAAGATAAAGGTTATACAAGTCTACGACTTATTGTTATTTTCGCTTTACCGCAGTCACCTTTTCTTAATCTTAACGATTAAGAAAAGGTGACTGCGATAACGTAGTCGTTCACGTTTCGGCTTTCGCAACATCCTCGAAAACATTTTGTCAACTCGG